AGCATTAGTTAAATTGTTGTGATTAATTATTTGTGTAGCGCGTTAAACAAAATTATTTTATGTTATTTCTGATTATGAAATTCTAATATTTAAATTATTAAAAGATTAAAGCTATATGATAAATATATTAATTTACATTTCCGAGTTCTTTGGAAAAAGATTACTAACAATTCCTAAGGCACAAATAATTAAGAATGGAATAAATACGCTTCAACAAAATTTTAAATAACCGATTCAGTGATTTAAAGAAAATGATAAAAATATTAGACGTAGAAAAATAATTATACATGTGTTTAATAAATTTCTAAAAAAACAGAAACATGAAAGAATTTCTTTACAATGTTCAAAATGAACAAAATATATTTTTGTTCTCTTAATACTAAAATTTCAAGATACAATAACTAAATTTGTAATTTCCTTCCAGTTTGTACCGTTTATATTATGCATTATTACATGTTCTCTGCTCAAATCTTGAGTGAGAAATGTTTCAAAATCGCTACTATTATGTAATAATAGTTCTCTCATGAATGCACATGATAGCGTTATTAATATAACTCCGGAAGTGTATTGAATGTCTAGAGAGAGCATTCATCTAGCGATGATCAGATTCGTTTTATATTTTCATTTGCTTCCAGGCTTCCTGATTTCCGACTTTATTGAGAAGAGAGTCACGCGTTTCAGTATTTTGAGAGATTTTAATAGAATATGTCATTTATTTGTATTTATATCAAACAACAAATTTGATATTACTACTACGATATTATTGGATATCACGTTTGGTCAAAATAGAAAACAACAGGTTTATAAATCACGTTACTTAGTTTATTTTTCTGCAATTTACTCTAATTCCATGTTCGATTGTTTCAAGCGTTTCAGATTTTACAGTATCTCGATAAATCTTTTCGTAAGAGAATATAGTGTTCACATTTCACTTCCAATTAAGTATCTCGATAACACATTCCATGTATCGATAGCTCAGCTATAACTTGATCGCATCTCTAATTGAATTACCCGAGATTTACGCGAGCAGAGTCCATCGTGTGTGCAAGATAAATATTTCTGGTTTGTAAAATGTAAAAATAAGACGCAAAGAAAGATAACAATGAGAAACCAAATGTGATAAATAAAATGTAACATCAATGTCAGGAAATTATATTTAGAATTAATATCCTATATATAGGATATAAATAAAATTTTTAGCCAGTCACATCTGATGAAACCGTCAGTTAGAGCAAAATTTTTAGTAAGTCAGTATTTTTTTTTAATGATTATATGAAACGTACTAGATTATTTTTTTATTTGGATATACACAGATCGGTAATAAAATTAATTTATTATGGCGATTCACGCAAAACAACATAGCCCTTGTGCTTGGCATTTTTTAATTTTTGTACATTGCTACATCTCTTCGCGGCAAGATTTAGCAGCAGCCGCGTTTTTCCTCTGGCCGTAGATTTTCATGGCCAAAAAAAGATACGGCTTTCCACCTGGAACCACCTGGAGAGAGGGCGGTTATAAAAATTACATCCCGACGCACGTTATAGTGTTGCATAAAATTACGTGCGTAACGTGACGGTTGCGGGAAATACGTACGCTTTGATTTTCGTAATAGTGCGGTAAATTGAATTTACACAGATAATTTTATAATTAGAATTGACGTAGATATATCTAAATGCGATTAGCGAAAACGACATTATCTACGATATTTGGAATCGCAAAAGTCGCTCGTGATAAAATATAACTGACAATATTGATAAATAGCAATACTGAAATAGTAATATATCATCACTTATCAAAAAGAACAATTTTATGAAGATCTAAACTTTATTTTTATTTTTAGAAAATGAAATAAAATGAAATTTAAAGAGGCAAGATATTTGTAGAATTTTTAGAATTTTTCAGTATTCATTCTGTTTCGTAATTTAAAATATCATAATTTTTAACTTTGATCATATATATTTAAATTTTGGCCACAAAATCCAAGCATGGTACCGCCCATTTTTGAATTGAGTTTCTCCTCGTAACTCTTTCAAACGAAATTCTAATATGGCATGTAGCCAACCAGTCCTAAGTTTGATCGTAAGAATCAAGTCTCAGATAAAACCAGTTCAATCATTTTTGCATGCACTAAAGTATGCACAAACAATTCTTGCAGACAATACAATAATTATATCCATATCAAAAAGAAACCAATCTCTCAAGATTAATTTGAAATCATGAAATGGTACTTCTTACACAAATTAATTCTCGTTTTCTTGATTAATTAGTCGGATAGTTTTCTTAACATATGAATTTAATTAAAGTTAACAATCTTAAATATATTAATTTATATGAATAATTAAAAAATTTAATTTTTAAAATATAATATCTAAAATATATATCTTTAAAGTATAAATTGATTTTTAAAACGCAAAAATAATGAATCGATAAAAGAAAGCACAAGATATGTTAAATTTGTCAGAATTCGTTCATGAGGAACAAAATATTTATTTGGCATATATTTTGAATATTAAATATTTCACAGAGAGCGGTGAAATTAGCTCATCGCGCATAGGTTTGTTGCTTGTTTTATGTAGTTCACAAAATGTTACAAACAAAATCGCTGCGACATTATTTGAACAGCAATGTTTGAGTGGACAGATGACAGAAGTTGCTTCGCAATTTATAGTATTATAGTATTTATAGTATTCGAATCGCAATTATTTTTTCTAAATAATCAACAATTATTGATCTGCATAATGTTTAAACTGCAATTAATTCGTAATAGCTAATGATTTGATAATAGCAATGGCGTTTTGTTTTCATCATCTGATTATTCGTATAAAAAAGATAGTTAAGTGAATATTTATTTAAACAATTTAATTTGACAATTTGCACATTATTTTACAATCTCGATTTTAAAATAATAAATTATAGACATAATTTAATTAACAATTTAATTAAATATAGTTTGCATATCATTTTAAAATACATACAAAAATAACTGAATAACAGATTATTTAATACCACAATTTTTTATTGAAATAAGATATATATCTTAGGTGTAAGAAAATGTTTATGAAATGTTTATTTATAATGTTTTAAATAACTTAGATAAATATCTTAGATAACTTAGGTAACTTAACGTACAGCATAATTTGTAACATGTCCACATGTTGGAAGTAGAAAATGTGCGATAATACCAATCATCGAAAAATATTGAAAGCGTGGGAAACGAGTGGGGATTATTTAACGTTTCGTTATTTTATAATACGCGTTAAATATTTCGTGAGTGCGAATATTGTTGTTTTTGTGCGCGGCCTTGTTATTTTGTTTGCGCGTGGCGCGGCGTGACGTGGTGTTTACGCGCGGTCAGCCCATTATCATTCACTCACCGGCCTTCGTACGAACGATTGGCGGTACTACGTCGCTCCACGTATTTTCATGTTTCTTTCCGAAACGCAATCGCGGCGAATGCTAGCTAATACCAAAGGTATTACTGTATTTGCACAGTAAACGACTATTAGCCCATATGATAAACGATCATATTTTTTTTATGAAGGTATATACTTTGCGCGCTTGCTTTCTCGAGATGGAAATGATAAAGAATCGTTGTTATTAAATAATAAACAATCACTTGTCGGCTGCTTATTAAAGTGTGATTTAACGAATAGAATGTTCGGAATTTGTTTTACGTATTGAATATTTGTCGCGGCGACGCATTGATTCGCACGTTCGTTTTTTTGAATCGCTTTTGCAAATTATAATCCCACTAAGATTGAGGGATTTCCGAAGGATTTAATAATTCCAAAGACAGGGAAGTCGGCAATATTCATTGCATTTCTATTAACACGGTATAACTACGAATTGTTTAATCATTTTTATATGGCAAATGCGTTTCACACATTATTGTCGGTTTTTAATTGACGAACTGACAAACCGTCAGCTGATTTCAGTGAATAAACCGCAACCGGTTCGTCGCGTTTACTTTAGGAGTGCAAATAATCGGATTAAGAGATTTTTTTAAAGTCCATTTGATATTTTAATTCAAGCCGATTCATACCTCCGATATATTCATCTGACAAAACTGGATATGCTTTGATGAATTTTATCAATAGGAGTGTCATAAAATATTATGCGAATGACTTATGTCGACGATTAATTCGTGCGCGATTACAATTATTCGCAAGTGTTCTTTGTGAGTGAATGAAGATGAATCCCAGCAATCCTGACATCCTGAGAGGACGAGGAGGTCTAGGAAAGGCATCAGGCACCAGCGGAGCAACCTTGTGGTGAGTATAATTTCTCTTTGCATTAAATTCATTCTGTTTCATCGAATTGTTTTGTTTTGGTAATTGAAAAATAATAATTAAAGTAACAAAGTTTGATGAAAGTTTATTTTTTAAAAGATGTACAATTCCTAATAAATATCTAGTTGAAAAACCAAGAATTTGGCCCATAGAAATTAACTTTTAAAACATCATTTTCGAGCGCTGCTTTAATTTGCATTTTTTGTTTGTGTGTTATACAGAATCATCGTAGCGTAAGTTGCTGATTAACTCCGCTGTTGTGCATCGACTCGGTGAGTGAAATTTTTTTTTATATTAAGTTAAATTTAAATAAAGTTTATGTTAGATGTATGCTTATTTATTAACAGCCACATAAGTGAACAGTTGCGATCAATACGGTATTATTTTTCTGTTAGAACTTTTGGTTTAAATAAAGAATACTTTATTATTAATAAAATATTATCTGATAGTTATGAAACATTCTGTATTATCAGAATACACTTAGTTGGAAATAACAACGGTACTTACAAGTAAACAAGAAGCGAATAGCTCGATGTTAATGTAATTCGACATAATATATATCTTCGATTTTGCGATAATGTATATTCTGCGTGTAATGTATATTTGAAGTTCCAATTTTTTTCCAATTACGACAATATAGCTGCCATATATATCTATTAAAATAAAGTACAATAAAATAAAGTACAATAATTTCACATAATAATATGTACATAATATATAATATGAAATATTTATTACATAATTATACATACATTTATAAGAAAGTACACATCGGTAAAGATAATAGATACATATATAAAACCATACTTATATTTAAAAACGTAAGAAATAAAGATGTACATATGCACAGAAGCAAAAACCAAGGCTGAAGAATTCTTTTTGCGCAGAATTTGGAGATTCGGTTCGAGAAAAATAATCAGCGGGTTAATGCAAATATTCTATTCTTTGACATATTTTTGTTTGTTTATTAATATGGAATCTCGTTGACGAAACTATTCCTCCTCGAGATCTCTGCCGTTTTATAATGATGTCTCTCGCAGAACTCTTGAATTCTTTGACAAGCTTCTTCGAGCATGTTACTTGGCACGGTAATTACCAGTCTCATGTAAGAATGATAATCGAAGCACTGGGGAAGAGATGTAAAATATTAATAAAACTATTCAGCTGTTCTTTAGACTTTAATGTAATATAATATTAAAATTTTTTCCTTTGAATAAATTATTAAAGAATAAAATAAAGGCGTGATGTGATTATAAAATTAAACGAATTATATATATTTGTAATATGAAACACATAAATCGTAAATACGTTTAATCTTTTTAAAAAATACAAAGAATTAAAATAAAAATTTATTGATATCTGTAAAATTATATGAATTGGAAAACATTACAATAAATTTTATAAGCTCTTTTGCGTAATCTGTTAAATTTTGCAATTATATTAATTATTGAAAAGGATTTATATTTCGGTGTTATTCGACACGTATCCTTGTAAGCGTAATGTTGATTTTTGGCAATATCCTCAAATGATAAATATTAGCGTTAAATATCAATGCGTTAAAAAAATTTAATTTAAAAAACCCGTATATCTTTATTTACGAAATTGAGTGGTATAATTGAAGATTTAAAATAGTGGATTATTTAAAATGTCAGAAACGCGAACCTGGCCGGGTAGGCAAAACACAGATTCTTCCATTAGCAGCCGCTGCACGAATTCCAGATCGGAATTAAATTCCGGAAAGCATGGCAGATCGATGTAGACCTGAAAATCGATTCAATAATTTATGGCTCGTAAATTACAGTCGGCCCACCTTACTGATGGTATTTGCATTAACGTATAAATAGCGGTCGTGCACCGATTAATTGTACGACCTATTTATCGAACGCTCGATTAACATTTACGGCTTTAGTCCGCGGGCTACGGACTGTCAAACAAATGCGCTGTGATTCTTGAAATTATGCAAAGGTGTGGCCAGGCTAATTACAGTGGGAATCATTACCATCATGTACATCGCTCCATCCGGCATTATCGGTTTCAGTCCCGAGATCTTTATTATGCAATCGTATGCCAGTTTGGAATGTGACTGATAACAAAAATTTGATATAAATATATTTAATGCTAAATTTATATATTCAGTATTTTTTAAATTACGATAGACTTACATATAAAGTACGGATGACATCGTCGAAAAATCTTTGTGGCGTTTTCCGAAGTATCGCAGGCAAGGCACCTTGAATAATAGTATTGCTGCCAATTATTCGTTGGCTCAAGCAATGTAAACCTTTGCGAATCTGAAAAATTGAGAATTTGTTAAATCTTCTCTTCGTATTATATAATTAAATATCAAATATACTGTAGAAAATACTCTATTCATATTAGGGATTTATACTTATATAAGACTATGTAATTTGGGTTAGAATTTATAATCGAATCTTATATATATAT